TTGTCATAATACATTCAATAATTGGTGCTGAATAATCTTAACTTTCTTCTTAATAAAAACTACAAATTAATTCTAGATATTCTGCTATATAAAATGCTATATTAAACTAGAAATTCTATCTCATTATAGTAGATAATAGAATATTGGTAGGTTGAGTAACTCTATGACATTTTAAATAATTAAAATATTGTACACACTGATTTTTAGATGTAGCAAAAGTTTTTTTTATATTAGTAAGAAACTTGTGAACAATTTCAAAATATATAAACGAAGCCCATAATTCTCTAGTTAAAAAAATAATATACATTAATAAATAAACTAATAAAGTTAACCAAATTTAAAATGCTTATCCTATTAAATTTATAATGTATGCTAAACATAGAAGGTGAACCAATTGTGATATTATAGGCTTTAGAACTTCTCGCATACATTTCTTCATATATGCAGCACTATTAGATACAATTAGTTTTGGCATATTAAATGGAATATCCTATTGCACTAAAGTTTTAACAATAAGTTGTCCAACTGTTTCATTATTTACATTAACTAAATAATCAACTACTACTAATTTTGTATCTTTACAATAATTAAACAAAATATTTACTACACTTCTCATCTTAATATTGGTGGTTTCATCCACAATAATACTAATACACTTATTTGCAAATGTTTTTTTTAAACTAGCTAAATGATTATCAAAAACACTTGACAATAATAACACCTTAAAGTATCTGATTTGGGAATTGAACCCTATCACAAACATATTTTCTAATCCAATTTTCTAATTTATTCACCTTTTTAAGCAGTATATCTGCACTAACAAAAGCTTCAATTAATTCAGAAATTACTATTTATTTAGAATCTTGAGCAGAAATAAAAGTATTAAGTGTTGGCTGAATTAATGAATTTTCTCTTTCAATAAATTCTGCATTATGTTTTTTATACCCTTTTGAATCAAGATGAGTTGTCATTGCAAATTTGCTTGTAAAAATTACAGATTCTGCACAAAAATGATACATCAAAAGACCATTATCAGCTCTAAAATTATTAGAAAATTCTTGAGCCCGGCTATAGGCTGTAATACATTTTGGTGGCATAATGCTTAGTTTTTAAAATTTATAAAATTTAATATATATAAAAATTAATTTTATAAATTTAATAAAAATTAATTAATATAAAGAAAACTTACTTAACCAAAAAAAAAAATTTTTTTGTTTAGAGTTAAGTACCTACTGGTAAAAACTCCTTTCTAGAGTTTTTTTTGCTTTTTTTTTAGAAGACCCAAAAAATTGATAATAATCAGAGCAAAGTACCCAACAATGCACTTTCTAAAAAAAAGACTAGAGTTTTTTTTTGTCAACGCACTTTCTAAAAAAAAAGACTAGAGTTTTTTTTGTCAAAGTATTGAATATAGATTAATTTGATATCCTGAAAAAATTTTTTTATCACCAAAAATTTTTTGATACGAATTAATTTTGTAATCTTACTATTTTTGGTGTAATTGATTATTTAACTAAATTAGTATTGTAATTGTTAAAGCTCTCAAAGAAGATAGTGTGTATATTGACATAAGGCTAATACGAGAGTATAGTGCCTCTGATGTCATAAAGTAGATTCTAGAATGTGTTCTCTTTCATAATAATCTAAATGTATAAAGGTGAAGTATTTATTCTAATAAATGGAAGTACCTTATTCTCATACTAAATATCAATTTTATATTAACTTATCACATGATTGTAAATAGCCAATCAAATCATCACATCTATATTTTTGGTAAAAAATATTGATTTATATTGATTTGGGTAAAAAATATTGATTTGTATCAATTTATACAAATCAATAATTTTCCAGGTTCCTGTCCCCACCCTCATCTGTTAGCCAATCAGATTTTATATTTATTAAAATGTATAATTAAAATTATATATAATATTTAATATTGAATAACTTTTGATTTACTAGACCGATTTGAATAATTTAACTACCAAAATGATCCTCTCATTAAAATCATAAAAATCTAATTACTAGATGTTAAGATATAAATAGTTTTGTATTACTATATAATAATATAATAAAATATATTTATAGTAATACAAAATTATTTTTATTTTAGCATCTAGTAATTGAATTTTTATAATTTGGACTTGTTAGAATTCTCTCATTAAGAGGATTCTAACAAATCCAAAATTATAAAAATCTAATCACTAGATGCTAAGATATAAATAGTTTTGTATTACTATATAATAATATTATAAAATATATTTATAGTAATACAAAACTATTTATATTTTAGCATCTAGTGATTAGATTTTTATTATTTTGAACTTGTTAGAATCCTCTTAATGAAAGGATCATTTTGGTAGTTAAATTATTCAAATTGGCCCAGTAGACAAAAGTTGTTAATAATTAAAATTTTATAATTAATTATTAACAAATTTATAATTTGACTTAAAAATATTTTTTAATTTTGGCCAAAACTTGATAATTCCGGCCAGAATTACACCTGATACATTATCTAATCCACCCACCTACCCCAAAATTAGCTGATTTTTGGAAGCCCTCTAACCCCTTATGACTAGGATTTTTATGTTCTGTAGATGAAAAAATTAGTAATAAACAAGATACACCTTTAGCTACTATCAAGTTAATATATATACCCACCAGAACATATATTTCAATATAAAGAATTAATTGCTTGGTATATTATGTTTTAAACTTGTGGATACACAAATATTATGCTATATTCAAATGAAGAATCAGATATCAAATATTGAACGTATATAGTAGATTCTAGAGCAAATTAACAAACCTTACAAAATTTATATTATGAGATTTACTTTAGATACCAAATTCTTGTAATGCCACTAGTTGTGAGTTCTGGAATAGTTTTCACCATACACTAAGTATTAATAAAAAAGGTACTGAAAGAAAAATTCGTGTACTTTTTATTATTGTACTTGATTTTAGTTACCAAGTTTTTAGAAATGAATTAGAAGTAAGATGAATTTTTTTTTTTGTAGTTGCGACTTATTAATATAAACACAAATTAATTGTAAAATATAGATTAGTCCAAAAACTATATTTAAAGTCAAACAACACACATATTTATATGGAGCTGATGCTTTACCTTTAGAAGTATCAAAAAAAATAACTAAATTGATGGCTGAGTTTAAAAAAAGATAGTTTGAATTCTTTTTTTTAGATAAAAATAATGTAACAATAAGCTCTTACAAGATAGACCCCAAAACAAACTTACCTGTTCTTTATCTACATGATAACAAGACTACTCTTTGGAAAAATTTTTAACAAACCTTTCCAAATAGTATGAAAAAAATATCTTTTATAAAATGGCTTACAAATTGTATACATCTATAATATCAGAACGATTTGGATGGTCTTTGTGGAATTTGTAATGAATATGGCTTTGGATCATTTAAAAGATTAGTTGGAATAGCTTAAAATATATTTGCTAACAAAATGGAATTGGTATTTTATTTTGTTTTTTAGAGTAAGTAATTATTTAAATAGAATAGCTTTTTTTATTGCTGTAAGTTTTTTTTAGCATTAAAAATTTTTTTTGTTAATTTATCAGCTTTTAGAATTATACACTAACATATCTTTTATTACTCAACTTTTTATTTATTTTCAGGTCTTTAATAATTGTATATGCTTCTACGTGCACTTCTCTACTTTAATGCATTCTTTTGTTTAAGATGTATTTTTTTTTTAATTGAAATTTTAAAATGTTTTTTAAATAGTTTCTTGTTAAAATATTTTTTTTTTAAAAAAAATAATAGTTGTTTTTTAAAAAAAAAAGTTTTTTTTTTTTAAAAAGTGTAGTTTTGTTTTTAAAAAAAAAGTGTAGTTTTATTTTTTTTAAAAAAGTTAGTTTTTTTAAAAAAGTTTTTTTTTTAAAAAAGTTTGTTTTTAAAGAAAGTTTTTTTTTTTAAGAAAGTTTTTTTTAATTTTTCTTTTTTTTTAAAAAAAAAGATTTTTATTTAAATATAGTTAGAACACCTTTTTCTAATTGCAGGAGAATTTGTTTTCTAATTAAAACCATTTTTTGTTAATTGAAAATGTTTATAGAATATTTTTTTATTATTAATAGAATAAAATACTTTCGCGAATTAAGAATTTGCAATGCTATTTTAAAAAAAAGTTTAAGTAGAAGCTAGTAATATCACAAGATGGAACAATTTTATATGATCCTTGTATCGACTATTGCCTCCTGTATATTTTTAAAGAATATTTAACATTACATATTTCAAGATGTTCACAATGTGAACAATTTTATAAATTTTTTGATTAGTTAGAAAATTGTGTAACTAACGAATATATAATGCAATTACATGAAATTAAAGAATGACTAAAGCAATATTTAGGTCACTAAGCATGAAAAGTTTATCTTAACACTCAATTCAAAGCTATTTTAGCTCAATTAAATCCTGATGGTGCCCTAATTGTAGCTGACTATAAGATGCAGTTTTTTTCAAAATCTGCACATAAAACTAAAAAAGATTTTTTTGGTAAAAGAGATTAGACTTTGTATACAATTCTGATATTTAAAAAAATAGAAAATCAAGATATGTTAGATGTTCAGACATTTGACTATTGGTCTACTGACACAAAGCAAAATACTTGGTTCACCGCTTTTTCATTAGAAACAGTATTTGATTCAATGAAACAAAAGCCAAAATAGATAACAGTAATTTCAAACAATGGTGTATATTATTATAATTCAGAGCTAATAGCTATTATTGCATATTGGCATACTTGGTACTTTATTAAGGTTAAACGATAGCTATTTTTAGAGCCAAGAGAAGCCAAAACAACTATTGATTCTTATCATGCAAATGTAAGTATAAGATTTTTTTTCTTATATATTAACAGAATAATGCTTCAATTTCATATAAGATCAGCTATAGTATCAAATAATATATTCGAATTGAATTTGATGTAGTCAAGGGTAAAGATATAGTAAAAGTAGCAAAGGGCTGGCTGGAATGTCATTGGTACAAATTACTATAGATTGTGATAATAGAAATAGTAAATCTGAGATTGAAGACATAAGGTCAAGAAAAAAAATTAGAAACTCAAGTAATAAAAAAACTAAAAATTAAAACAATACTGGAAATATCAAAATTTTACTATTGGAAATGGCCAATAGAAGGATCTCAGGTTGGGTTTATTTATGCTAAGGGATTACTACATGTAGGTTTATGAAAAAGCTTTTTTCTAGTCAAAATTGCCAAATTATCTAATACATCTATTATTCACCTAAAGCTGATAGTTTCGGTATATACAATACCAACATGTGATTGGACCATGTCAATTCTGATGATTCAAGATATTTAAACATATGAATAGACTATTATAAAATGGTAGAATCTGATAACCTATAATAAATTTTAATACCTACTAATAATAAAGTAACAGTGATAGAAGGTAAGTTTAATTGTTATAATTTTACAACAAACCAATTACAACATATTACTGAATAGCACTACTTATAAAATAGATATTACTAATTTGAATAGTGAAGACAATTATTAAAAAGCTTCTAAGACATACATTAAAAGTAGAAATTAGTTTTTCCAATATTTTTATTATAAAGCTGCTAAACAATTTTCTTGTGAAATAGGTGTTACCAATTTTTATAATAAGAATAACCATCAAGAAAGCTTTGAAATAAGAATTATTAGTAAGAATTAGCTATTCTAGTGTATAAAGTTAACCATTAGCTTGTTATTGTGTGAATTTTTTTTACTTGTTCATATATGACTCTTTAGAAAATATGGTTAGAAAAGATGAACAGAAGGCATTATCAAAAATTAGCTAAAACAGGAAATTCTAATAGAATTGGAGTTAAAATAAATAAACAAAAGATATCTATTTATTTTTAGAAATCTGCTAAAATGAAAAATATCAGTAAAATTGGAATTAAAAGGTATAAACAAAATGTATTTGTTTATTATCAAAAATCAGTTGAGATAGATAATCTCAGGGACAGGTTTGTAGAACCTTTGCCTCTATTTGTTTCTAGATTATTTTTTATTTAACTAATGTGAATCTTGTCTAGAAATATTAAAGAAGAATTTGAATTACTCTCAAGATGGGCATTTCAAAAAACTCAAAATTCAGAAAAAAGGCATAGGAAAAAAATCAAAACAAAAGTTGTTAATTTACTAAAACAATTTTTTTTAAATAGAAATATGAATTCTAAGGATAAGATAACAGCCCAAGAAATGTATATGAAACTTAAAGAGTTCTCACTATCTAAAGAAATCAATGATGATGACATTCCTCAAGTATCTACAATTCATAATTAGATTAAAAAATATTTTAGAGAATTTAATCACAAAGAAACAATGATTGTACTTGAAGTATTCAATGCCGATGACTCTTCTTTAAATAGTAAATATTGTATATATTTGTATTGCATTATTGTTTTAAATATCAAATGTCATGCCTTAATCTCATTTATATTTATTGTTGAAACAGATCAAGTGAATTAAGAATAATAAATGTAAAGCTTTATTTATCATTAAAAGGCTGCTAAAATGAAAGGTTCTGTTAGAGCATTTCAAGTTGATTATTGTTAACAAATAGAATTAGGTTTAAAAAAACAAGCAAGTTGTATTTGTTTATCTAATTAGCATATTAGAATGGTGCATATAAATAAAATATGAAATAAATAGGAGGTTAAATATTCAAATTTGTAAATTTG